TTTTTTTTTTTTTTATCAGAAGTATAAGATGAACTCGAACTGTCTTTTTTTTTTGGAAATATCTTCCATTTCTTTTGCCACTTTATTCTGCTACTATTGTGGATAATTCCAATTAATAACTGGCCAAAGATGAAGACCTGTTCCCTGACATCCTCACCCACCAGGGAGATTGAAGGCGTTGTCAACCACAAACAATTAAGGCCGGTTGGAGGTAACTTGAAGTTTCCATAAATTAAGGTTTGTTCGGTTCGGGTATTATCTGGATTTATTTTATTCATTAAATCCAGCTCAATTCATTTTCTTTGTCACGTAGTACAAATTAATTTTTTTTANTAAATTAAGGTTTGTTCGGTTCGGGTATTATCTGGATTTATTTTATTCATTAAATCTAGCCAATTCATTTTCTTTGTCATGTAGTACAAATTAATTTTTTTTAANACCACAAACAATTAAGGCCGGTTGGAGGTAACTTGAAGTTTCCATAAATTAAGGTTTGTTCGGTTCGGGTATTATCTGGATTTATTTTATTCATTAAATCCAGCTCAATTCATTTTCTTTGTCACGTAGTACAAATTAATTTTTTTTAATTGGGATAAATTATACTCACAACCACTGACATTTGACTAAATGACAATAAGACCCCCTAATATTTCTAAAATGATACGGGGACTCCTTGTTGGCATCAATAGATGATCGACGTTATCATAAGTGGTAAATGACTATTTTAACCCTTTAATTTAATTTAAAATAAAAACATAATAAATAAAATATATTGCAACAAATTAAATTAATAAGTCAAAAAAAAATCCCTCTCTTGCTCTGGCATCTCATTCATCCTTTACACCCGACCGCTGCCACCACTCCTCCTTCTCTCCCCTCTCTCTCTCTCTCTCTCTCTCTCGCTCTTTACCAACCTGCAACTCTTTCTCTTCCCTTCTCCCTCTTAGATCCCCCAGGCCCCCAACCTCCTATTCTCTCTCTTTCTCTCTCCCTTAGATCCCCTTGGCCCCCGCCCTTCNCTCGCTCTTTACCAACCTGCAACTCTTTCTCTTCCCTTCTCCCTCTTAGATCCCCCAGGCCCCCAACCTCTTATTCTCTCTCCCTTAGATCCCCTTGGCCCCCGTCCTGCCTTGCAACAAATCTCAACCCTCCCAAACTTTTCGCACCCCCAACTGCTATCCAACCCTCCCAACCTAGCTACCACCACCACTCCCAACCTCTTTCCCTTTCTCTCTCTTTTTTTTTTCTCTCTCTCTTTCNCCGTCCTGCCTTGCAACAAATCTCAACCCTCCCAAACTTTTCGCACCCCCAACTGCTATCCAACCCTCCCAACCTAGCTACCACCACCACTCCCAACCTCTTTCCTTTTCTCTCTCTTTTTTTTTCTCTCTCTCTTTCACACACACACACACACACACACAGATCCCTCAGGCCCTCGCCCTTCCCGGCAACAAACCACATCTCAGCCCACCCCAGCTACCACCACCACTACCACTCCAAACCCACCACTCTCAATCCCCATTTCTCTCTCTACCTCTTTCGTCTCTCTCTTTCTCTGATCTCCCACGCCCCCTGCCCCATCCCTACAACAAACCTCATCGCACTCAACCTTAGCTGCCACCACCACCACCACTCCCTAACCCCCTTGTTTCTCTTATCTCTATTCTCTCTTCCTTTATGATCCTCTAGGCCCCCCATCCCCTCTTTGCAACAAACCCCATTGCACACAACCCTCTCAACCACCCAACTGTCATCACCACCACAACTCCAAACTCTATCTTTCTCATTCTCAGGCCCCTGCTCCCTCCCCTTCCCCATCATCCTCAACCCACTGTGTAACACCCCAAAATCATGGTACCATATATGCAACAAATGATGAGGAAAAACCAACAACAACTACATAACTCTGATACTTTTATATATATATATATATATATTATGTTTAAAACCCCACGATTACATCTCAATCGTCTCTCTAAACTCGGCAGTGGACTCCTCTCGTTTGTAATGTTTTTCCTAAAAAAGTCATTGAAACCATTAGTGAGAGCAAGGATGCAATCAATAATCACGAGCACAACAAGAAATAAAGAAAACACTTTATTTATTTAAAAACAACCTTAACCATGTTGCAATTACCAACATTAAATGTTACACTTCACCACTTACACGTTGTTCGGATACATCACATAGACATAACTTATATAAATCATATTGACAAAATTTACCGCTAAAATAGTTACTTTCACACAATTAAATTATGCTACACAACGAATACCCTCGCGCATACCCCCGGTCACACAGGAAATTCAAGCTACACAAATAATTCTCATCACTTAGACGACATATACCACATAATTAATTCTCATCACTTAGATTACTCAAGTCAGATAGATATTTCTCATTCTTGTCACTTAGACGACTTAAATACGTAATTTAATTCCGTTATGTAGATGACGTTGTTAATCAACTCGCATCACAACGCTAATTTCGGTCACGTAGATGACTCGTATCAAATAATTAATTCTTGTCTTATAGAACTCACAATTACTTAATATTTTCGTCACAAAGACGACTCATATACTTAATATTTTTCAGTCACGTAGACATTTCACAGTCACAAAGATGATACAGAAACTTAATATTTTTCGCCACGAAGACGATTCATATGACACTTTTATCTTATGGACAACTCGTGTATTTATAATATTTCCAATAGCTTTTATGACTCATGCTCTCATTGCAACTATTGTCATTTTGATGGCTCACACCCACATTATTATCTCATCATAGGAATGCATCATGCTCGCAAATAAATTCAACTCACAAACAGTCAACTCGAAATGCATGCACAAATTTCGTCACATAATTGACCCAAGCCACGAAGGCTTACTCCATCATTTAAACCATCTTTGCCATCTAAATATTACACCACTCAGTTATTTAATCTCAAAAGAGATCATAAAACAATCATTTAAACAAAACTTAAATATGTATCGATAAAGAGAATGTAGGATAGCACACCTACCTTGCGTGAGATTCTACCTCGTAGACGACCCCTTCGTCAGAGTTTTGAGTGCGGCAATCTTTGACGTTTTTGCCTCTGGACCTGTTATGCCCAATATCCATAATCCCACTCGAGCATTAATATGTAATAACGCTTAAATCCATAATGGTTTACGAAACACGAATATGTAATAACGCTAATAGTTTAATAATCAATTTGAGTCAAATTAAATAATCCATTTACATCCAATAAAATTATCTACTTGAATCGATTAAGCTATTAGTTTAATAATTAATTCAAGTCAAATTAAATAATTCATTTACATCGAGTAAAATTATCTACTCGAATTGATTCAACTAATCTTCTCGAATCCGTTAAATCAACATTTATTTGAACCAATTACATTAAATGAAACCTTTCTCATAAAATTGCAAACATAACAAAAGTATACTTGAATTTACATAATTTCTTACATCATAAAATTTTACATGTTTTCTTGTAATTACTCATCCATGGATTCATTCAATTTCAAGAACATTTAATAATATTTTTAAATTATCCACTAGACTATTCTGTCTCTAAATCAAAATTCAACCTACATACAATAATTCTATTCTTCTTATTTATTGTTTTTTCATGCAACAACACCTTATGCTCACACACCCACCTAAACATTATATTAATTTTTCAAGCAATACTCATGATACCACACTTCCATAACAACCTTTACATTNGCTCACACACCCACCTAAACATTATATTAATTTTTCAAGCAATACCCATGATACCTCACTTCCATAACAACCTTTACATTAAACCCACAGGCAATACACCATTCTTAGATTATATGCAATACCCAAAATACGTACACTAAGAATTCTTATATATACATTTAAAATGGGAGAAGGTAGATTTACATGGCTTACTTCTTATACCCACTTCCTGCACCACCAAGCAACTCCACTAATCTTCCACCTTTAAGCCACCATCAAGCTTCATTTTCAAGCTTCATTTTTTCCCTTCTTGCCTTAACCAAAATTTTCCAAGTGTTTATTTTTCTTTGTTTTCCTATTCTTTCCTTTCCTTGCTCTTCCTTTTCTTTAGTCGAAATTGGCCAAGTGTGGGGAGACTCCTGTGCTTGTTTTTTTTTTTTTATTTTTTTTATCTTATCTCCCCTTTTATATTTTTCCCCTAGATGCGTGTTCCCCGCACCCTCTCCCTCCTTAGCCGCCACCTCCTTTCCCCCTCTAAACCCTATCTACACATCTCCTTTAAATGTGGTGCTCATCATGACTTAATGTATATATATGTATTTATATACATTTTAGTCCTTGCCTGTGTATCTATATATACCATNAAAAGGTCAACTCGAAACACATGCACAAATTTTGTCACACAATTAACCCAAGCCATGAAAGGTTACTCCGTCATTTAAACTATCTTTGTCATCCAAATATTACACCACTCAGTTATTAAATCTCAAAAGAGATTATAGAACAATCATTTAAATAAAACTTATATATGTATCAATAAAGAAAATGTAGGATAACACACCTACATTGCGTGAGATTCTACCCCGTAGACAACCCCTCCATCAGAGCTTTAAGTGCGGCATTCTTTGACATTTTTGCCTCTGGACTTGTCATGCCCAATATCCATAATCCCNTGCGTGAGATTCTACCCCGTAGACAACCCCTCCGTCGGAGCTTTAAGTGCGGCATTCTTTGACATTTTTGTCTCTGGACCTGTCATGCCCAATATCCATAATCTCATTCTTGCATTGATATGTAATAATGCTTAAATCCATAATGGTTTATGAAACTCGAATTTCAATACTCAATTCGAGTCAAATTAATAATTCATTTACATCTAATGAAATTATCTACTCGAATCGATTAAGCTAATAGTTTAATAATCAATTCAAGTCAAATTAAATAATTCATTTACATCCAATAAAATTATCTACTCAAATCGATTAAGCTAATAGTTTAATAATNGAATGTAGGATAGCACACCTACCTTGCGTGAGATTCTACCTCGTAGACGACCCCTTCGTCAGAGTTTTGAGTGCGGCAATCTTTGACGTTTTTGCCTCTGGACCTGTTATGCCCAATATCCATAATCCCACTCGAGCATTAATATGTAATAACGCTTAAATCCATAATGGTTTACGAAACACGAATATGTAATAACGCTAATAGTTTAATAATCAATTTGAGTCAAATTAAATAATCCATTTACATCCAATAAAATTATCTACTTGAATCGATTAAGCTATTAGTTTAATAATTAATTCAAGTCAAATTAAATAATTCATTTACATCGAGTAAAATTATCTACTCGAATTGATTCAACTAATCTTCTCGAATCCGTTAAATCAACATTTATTTGAACCAATTACATTAAATGAAACCTTTCTCATAAAATTGCAAACATAACAAAAGTATACTTGAATTTACATAATTTCTTACATCATAAAATTTTACATGTTTTCTTGTAATTACTCATCCATGGATTCATTCAATTTCAAGAACATTTAATAATATTTTTAAATTATCCACTAGACTATTCTGTCTCTAAATCAAAATTCAACCTACATACAATAATTCTATTCTTCTTATATATTGTTTTTTCATGCAACAACACCGTATGCTCACACACCCACCTAAATATTATATTAATTTTTCAAGCAATACTCATGATACCACACTTCCATAACAACCTTTACATTAAACCTACATGCAATACACCATTCTTAGATAACATGCAATACCCAATAAATATACACTAACAATTCTTATATATACATTTAAAATGATAGAAGATAGATTACATGGCTTACCTGTTATACCCGCTTCCTACACCACCAATCTTCCACCTTTAACCCAACTGCACTTTCAAGCCTCTCTTTTTCCCTTCTTACTTTACCCAAAATTTTTCAAGTGTGAGTGAAGAGTCTTGTTTATTTTTCTTTGTTTTCTTTTCTTTCCTATTCNACTTCCTACACCACCAATCTTCCACCTTTAACCCAGCTCCACTTTCAAGCTTCTCTTTTTCCCTTCTTACTTTACCCAAAATTTTTCAAGTGTGAGTGAAGAGTCTTGTTTATTTTTCTTTGTTTTCTTTTCTTTCCTATTCTTTCCTTTCCTTCCTCTTCTTTTTTTTTTTCCTTCTTTCCCTCTTGGCTCTTGATCTAGCCGAATTATTCAAGTGCAAGACCTCCTTTTTCTTTTCTTTTCTTTTTGCATGCAAGACATACTTTGCATGTCTTGCTACGTGGAAACTTTCATCATAACTCTATATATATATAAATCCATATGTACTCCTTAGCTTATATAGGTTTATACATGTACAATTATATGTATGTACCCATTTTTTTTTTGTATGCATATTTATACATAAATATGTATATACATATATTTAAATTATTGACAATCTATTAAATTTGTCTTTCGGACCCTTAACCACTCCTTCGATTTTCCTTTTTAATGGTAGGAAGATGTAAGGAGTGCTTGTGTTATGATTTTTAAATCTCAGGAGGTCACCATGCAATTTNCTTATATAGGTTTATACATGTACAATTATATGTATGTACCCATTTTTTTTTTGTATGCATATTTATACATAAATATGTATATACATATATTTAAATTATTGACAATCTATTAAATTTGTCTTTCAGACCCTTAACCACTCATTCGATTTTCCTTTTTAATGGTAGGAAGATGTAAGGAGTGCTTGTGTTATGATTTTNGACATATACCACATAATTAATTCTCATCACTTAGATTACTCAAGTCAGATAGATATTTCTCATTCTTGTCACT